GATTCCCTAGCACTGAACCAAGACAGTTAAAGTGGCCTCAAGCTGCATGATTTCTGGCAGTCTGCAAAGGCCCTACATGTTCCTACCTGTTGTTAAAGTTTATCTAGTCATTGACATGTAAATAGCCTTCTCTTCTGTAGTATTGTAGTAGAGTTGAGTCAATAGAGCTACATTGAAAGGACAATGCTATTGGAATGCGCGGCTAAGAGGTATATATATAAAAAAATTCACATCACTCCTTGACATTTTTTTGGGTCAGATTACATTTATCATGGCTCTATCCAAACTGTCTTTGAATGTCTCAGATTGATTTAAGTGCAGCCTTTCTTCACTTATTGTGAGGGCTCTACAGCTAGAGATTCTGCTAAGGATTTACTTTGTGAGTCCCTCTGCTCAGTTTATATAGAATAACTCCCTGAATCAAATGATTTCAGCTATAGGGTTTTTTTCTCTGTGTTTCCTATTTTTCTAAAAAATAAACTATTTTTACCCATTTGTTGCTTCTCACAATCTTTTTAAAAAGGAGGAGCAATCTAGGGAGAAATACCATAACTCAGGGCCTTTGCAGACTGCTAGAAATAGTGCAAATTGAGTCCACTTTAACTGCCCTGGCTCAATCCTAGGGAATCATGAGAACTGTAGTTTATTGTGGCACCAGAGCTCTCTGACAGAAAAGACTCAATGTCTCAGAAAAAAACAACAACAATTCCCATGATTCCCTAACCCTAACCCTAACCCTTAAAGTGGACTCAATTTGTACTATTTCTGGCAGTCTGCAAAGGCCCTCAGTGATAATACTTGTTCCTTGGAAAATAAAAGGAAACTATCATTAGAATGAATATTATTATAGTTTTAAAGCATCCTCATCCTCATCATTAACATCATCATTTTTATCTGAACTAGTACGTTGCTTTTTCACCAAAACCTGGGACTCAAGACAGCTTCTAAATATATAGATAACAGTATTATATAATAGGTACAGTATCAATTTTAAAATGAAATTAAACTATTAACAACACTAAAAAAAGTAAAACATAATAAAGGAGGGGACATTCCTCCTCAAATACTCTCCTGTATCAATCAGTTAATGGCTTTAACTTCCAAACAAAAAGGTCTTTGCCAGATGGCAAAGGGATTGCAGAGAGGGGCCTTGTAGGAAAGAATTTCACCGTCTGGGAGCAACCACCAAATATTCTTGCAAAGGTGGGAGGAAGAAAAAGCTTTCTCTTGAAATTTTCAAAACCAGATCAGGCTCATATAGGGAGATGCAGTCTTTCAGCTAGTCTCAGCTAGTATTAGAAGTACTGTATATACTCATGTATAAGTCTAGAGATTTTAGTCAAAAATGTAACCTCCCCAAACCTGGGTCAGCTTATCCACAGTCATTGTAAGTAGGGTACTTACACTCTTATCAAAAAGGAACCACCTCCTTCTCTGAGTAGAGTGGCAAAAAGTGAGGGCTTAGTCCATGCCAGGAGAACCTAAAAGAAGCACCTACTCTTTACACTGTGGTGCTGTTTTTGACCTTTTTGAATGACTGCGCAGGAAAATGGTGGCGGTGGCAGGTCTTTGGTACGTCCCTTTGAAGGAGCACTGAGAGAAATTGGGCTTTGAAAAATTTTAATAAGACATATATGTATGCTTATCAACGTATTTGGGTTAAAATCACATTAAAATTAAAGGCTATAATAACCGCTAACAGCATCACTACTTTCTTTGCTTTGCATTTTCATCCTTTTTGGCATGTGCACATTTTCTTAGACCTGCCATTGCCTGGTCACCTTCTCCATGCATCACACAGCCATGATGTACCATAGTTCCCTCCTCATCCATCCAGCCTTCAGGGTGAGCACAGATTTATGCCTGTTGGAATTTTATAGGTTCTTTTGCATCATTTTCTTTAGCTTTGTCCTCTACCTCCTTTGTTACGTGTCCCTAAGTTTTAACCTCGACTTATCATATCAAAATCCATAATTGCGGCTCCAAAAGTTATACATCAGGTCGACTTATAGTTGAGTATATATGGTATATGAAGGATATGAAAGAAGTTTATTTAGAAATATGTGGACAATCAGTCTTTGGGGGGGCCTCTGTGTGTATAATTGTGTGTTTGAACGCATATGGGTGTGAGAGAGTAGTGAATGTGTGTAATTCTTTCTGCTCATTCTCTTCACAACACTATGAATGACTATAAATCCCACATGAATCATCATACAAAGGCTTTTATAATAGATATGTATATATATATATATTTTAAAAAGATTTCAAAGCTTTCATTTATACTACTATAAAGTATCTACATCTTTTTAATGCATTTATTATGTTATGGATGATGATCAAAGAATGTATTAAATAGCAGATGATAGGTGTTCCTTCACATTTAAGCATCCTTCTTAGTACCTTCCATAACCAGCCTTTCAACCACTGCTTCACAGATGTTCTTGAGTATCTTTTGGAAGCCAGCAGGAAATGTGCTAGGAATGCAGTCAGAGCTGCTCCTCTGAAAATAGCTGTGTCACTCGAGCCCACACCCCTTTCCTCAATATTACTGCATATATGATGCCCCCTTAGCAAGTGTACATTTTTTGTGCCAATGCCATGAGATAGAGTGTTATGAAGGGGTCAGGGCAGAACAGCTGGCGCTGCTTTGGATCCAGCAGCTGTTGTTTGTTGGCAAAGCTCAAGGAGCTTAAGGCATGCGGCTGAGCCAACCAGCCCAATGTGAACAAGAACAAGGTGGGGCATACTTACTTTCCCACAGGGCAGGGGAATTTAATTTTTAAAAGCACTGTCAGGAACATGGAGGAATGCTATTGCTTCTGATTCTTTTTCAGTTGCTCATTGTTAACGTCCAAATCAACTTTTTGATTAAATATTATATTGTGATTAAGAAGAAGAAGAATTAGAGGAAGCAGCAGAAGCAGCTTCTTGATTGTAAAATTGCCAAGCTTTTTCCTGCACTGAAAATCATGCCAATAAAAGCTAGACAAATAGTCTTGTTAAAAAATATATATATATATGTACCGGTATGTATGTATAGACATACATTTACATCTTACTTCTAGAACTCTTAAAACATGAGGATTTGCTTTCATATGCCCTGCTATAAAGAAAGGTGCATCACTTCAATATGTAGTTAAGATCCTCCCACATAACATAAACCTCAAGAAATGACAATTGCTATTGCAGCTATTTATTGTGGGGTGAGGAACCAGGATGCTGTATAGATGCTAACTAACCAATGGTGGATTCTTTGTTCTGATTTTGAAGTTGACCTTGCTCCTTTCAGATTAGACAATTAGTGCAACCCATT